TAGGGGAGGCCCGGGACCGGTTAAGATAATCGTCACTGGTGTTGGCCGTGAGCGGGAATCGAACCCGTGTCGCCGGGTTCATAGCGCAGCGCGCTAACCGCTACACTATCGCTCCCCACAACGCACAGACATACACACAGAGACGCACACACACGCACAGACACACACACACACGCACAGACACACACGCACAGACACACACACACAGACACACACACAGACACACACACAGACACACACACACACACGTGCGCGCGTGTCCTCCGTCACAGCAGCAAAGTGCTTAAAATGATCTCAAACGGCCCCTGGTTGTGAGCTGGGGAATATCGTAAACCTCTCTCCTCCTCCTCCTCTTTGTCAACACGTAACTCTCTCTATCTCTACCGTGCCGGGGGAGGTGTGGAGGAGGAGAGAGACACGAGGAGGAGGAGGTAGAGGAGGATGAGGAGGTGGAGGAGGAGAGAGACACGAGGGAGGGGAGGTGGAGGAGAGAGTCACGAGGAGGAGGAGGAGGAGAGAGATACGAGGAGAATGAGGAGGTGGAGGAGAGAGACACGAGGAGGAGGTGGAGGAGGAGGAGAGAGACGAGGAGGAGCAGGAGAGAGACACGAGGAGGAGGTGGAGGAGAGAGACACGAGGGAGGGGAGGTAGAGGAGGATGAGGAGGTGGAGGAGGAGAGAGACACGAGGGAGGGGAGGTGGAGGAGAGAGACATGAGGAGGAGGAGGAGGAGAGAGACACGAGGAGGATGAGGAGGAGGAGAGAGATACGAAGAGGAGGTGGAGGAGGAGGAGAGAGACACGAGGTGGAGGAGGAGGAGAGAGACACGAGGTGGAGGAGGAGGAGAGAGACACGAGGAGGAGGCGAGAGACACGAGGAGGAGGAGAGAGACACGAGGAGGAGGAAGAGGAGGAGAGAGACACGAGGAGGAGGAGAGAGACACGAGGAGGAGGAGGTGGAGGAGGAGGAGAGAGACACGAGGAGGAGGTGGAGGAGAGAGACACGAGGAGGAGGAGGTGGAGGAGGAGGTGGAGGAGGAGGAGCGAGACACGAGGATGAGTAGTGGTGGTATGACGAGGGTGTATGTGTGGGTGACGGGGACCACGTGACGTGTGACTCGCAGCGTGCTGCCCCCCCCAGCCCTACCTCCCCCAAGAGAGGGCGAAGCGAAGTGAGCTGATGGGGGGGAGGGGTGGGCTGTCTCAGGCTGTCTCAGACTGTCTGAGGCTGTCTGAGGCTGTCTCAGACTGTCTCAGACTGTCTCACGCTGTCTCAGACTGTTTCAGGCTGTCTCAGGCTGTCTCAGACTGTCTCAGGCTGTCTCGGGCTGTCTCGGGCTGTCTCAGGCTGTCTCAGACTGTCTCGGGCTGTCTCGGGCTGTCTCAGACTCTCTCAGGCTGTCTCGGGCTGTCTCGGGCTGTCTCAGACTGTATCAGGCTGTCTCAGATTGTCTCGGGCTGTCTCGGGCTATCTCAGGCTGTCTCGGGCTGTCTCGGGCTGTCTCGGGCTGTCTCGGGCTGTCTGGGGCTGTCTCAGGCTGTCTCAGGCTGTCTCGGGCTGTCTCGGGCTGTCTCGGGCTGTCTCAGGCTAGCTCAGGCTGTCTCAGACTGTCTAACGTTGTCTCAGGCTGTCTCAGACTGTCTCACGCTGTCTCAGACTGTCTCAGACTGTCTCACGCTGTCTCACGCTGTCTCAGGCTGTCTCAGACTGTCTCAGGCTGTCTCGGGCTGTCTCGGGCTGTCTGGGGCTGTCTCAGGCTGTCTCGGGCTGTCTCGGGCTGTCTCAGGCTGTCTCGGGCTGTCTCAGGCTGTCTCACGCTGTCTCAGACTGTCTCAGGCTAGCTCAGGCTGTCTCAGACTGTCTAACGTTGTCTCAGGCTGTCTCAGACTGTCTCACGCTGTCTCAGACTGTCTCACGCTGTCTCACGCTGTCTCAGGCTGTCTCAGGCTGTCTCAGGCTGTCTCGGGCTGTCTCAGGCTGTCTCGGGCTGTCTCAGGCTGTCTCGGGCTGTCTCAGACTGTCTCAGGCTGTCTCGGGCTGTCTCGGGCTGTATCAGGCTGTCTCAGACTGTCTCGGGCTGTCTCAGGCTGTCTCAGGCTGTCTCGGGCTGTCTCGGGCTGTCTAACGTTGTCTCAGGCTGTCTCAGACTGTCTCACGCTGTGTCAGGCTGTCTCAGACTGTCTCAGGCTGTCTCAGGCTGTCTCAGACTGTCTCAGGCTGTCTCACGCTGTCTCAGGCTGTCTCGGGCTGTCTCAGACTGTCTCAGGCTGTCTCAGACTGTCTAACGTTGTCTCAGGCTGTCTCACGCTGTCTCACGCTGTCTCAGGCTGTCTCAGACTGTCTCACGCTGTCTCACGCTGTCTCATGCTGTCTCAGGCTGTCTCAGGCTGTCTCGGGCTGTCTCACACTGTCTCAGACTGCCTCACGCTGTCTCAGACTGTCTCACGCTGTCTCAGACTGTCTCAGGCTGTCTCAGACTGTCTCAGACTGTCTCAGGCTGT